TCCCACCAGCCTCTGGGCGTCGGTGGTTTAGAGCGTTTCCTCTTCCACCCCTCCTTCTTCCCCTTCGGGGAGGGGTTTACCCCTCCCCCTACCCCCTCCCCACTGACCTGGACAGGGGGGGCCGCGGGTAGTTTGAGCGTCCAAGAACGACCCCTGGGAGGGCTAAAACTCGACACCCTTCACGAGGATCGTGGCTCCTGAGGGGGGGGCTGAAATTTAGGAACCCCTCTTCTTTGATCGATTTCCTCCACGATGGCCGCAAGAGGCCCCCAGGATGCCCCAAGAGGCCGCAGGATGGCCCCAAGATGGCCCCAAGAGGCCCCCCAAGAGGCCCCCAGGAGGCCCCCAAGAGACCCCCGAGAGGCCCCAAGAGACCCCCCAGAGGCACCCAAGGTGCTCCCAGAGGCCCCAAGATGGCCCCAAGAGGCCCCCAGGAGCCCCCAAAGAGGATTCCGAACGGCCCACAGAGGCCCCCCCGAGGCACCCAAGACGCCGAAAAGCCCCTGAGGACGACCCTCTACTCGCCTGGGCGTCGTTTCTGGACGGGCTGGTGGGGATACGCGAAGCGTCTAGAATTTGCCCCTCGTTGATGAATGCTTGAGCCTCTTCGCGTGGCGAGTCCGAAGCGGATACGAGCTCATGACGAGGGCTCAGTTTGGTTCGAGCCTCGGTCCTTGGGCCACTTAGGAGGCCACATTCGATCCCTACCCAACCACCTCACGATTTCTGAAGGGGGGAGGTGGGGTTCCCTTTTTTGGGGAGCTCCCGAGCGAGGCGAAACCCACCTCCCCCTCTAGAAGGCGTGGGATGGTGGGGTAGGGTTCGCATGTGGCTTCCTATCATTGCTTGCCCATCACAGAACCTTTCGAGATATCTCCAGAGCATTGCTCGGCCAGAGAAGTCCGGAGCTGTTCGCTGCCAGAAACCGCGCGAACGGGTCTTGAGGGAAACGGTCCCTGAGGCTTCTCACTTTCTTCGGGCCCTGTCAGGCAACAGCTCAGGATGAAGAGCTGGTCCCCAGGCACGGCCCCAGGGTACAGGACTCGGGGGTCCCCAACACGGTGTGGTGACCACACCGCCTGGTGAGTCAGTGGGGATTTGGGGTCTGACTTTGGGACTTGAGTCGTTCTCCGAAGACCTCTCCAGCGACTGGGGCCTCCGAGGTCCCAAAACCGCACGGCGACGGACTGCGCGGTGAGGTCGTTGGGGATTTCGAGGTCACCACGCGGTCTGTCACCCCACGGTTTCGGGACGCCCAAAGGACCCGTTCCCCTCGGGGCCCGCTTCCTTCGTGCCCGTCGAGCCGGCGTTAGGCGGGCCGGCGGCCAGGGGCGGCGGCGGCCGCAGGTTGACCCAGTCGCTGTTCCCCGCGTTCGGCATGCGCGTCGAGCCGGTGCCGCGGGCGGGCGGGCGCCCTGGTCGTCGCAGCGCGGCCGCGGTGGTCCTGGCGGCGGCGGCGCCGTGGTCGGCTCCGACCAGGGGGTTCGATGGTCGGGGGCGGCAAAGAGGGGTGTGATGACTAGGGCGGGTGGATATCATGGCGTGGGCCATGATATTTTCCCAGATTTCATGGCGCCTCTTCTTATTTCATTACGTCCCTGGCCCCCCCGCTGGGCTGCGCACATGCCGCCGGTCATGATTTGCACCACCCCTTCTTGGGCACCCCCCTCTTGGCAGCTCCCGAGATGGTCGAGGCTCGAATTCATTGGGGGTTCGAGGGTCGAGGCATTCGAGGGTCGACAGCAGAAGGTCGTGGAGGGTCGAGGGTCGAGGGTTGAGAGGGTCCAGGGGCGTGGTCCGAGGGTAGGGGTTCGAGGGTCAGGATGGTCGAAGTTTGAATGGGTCGAGGGGGTCGAGGGTCAGGTGTGTCGAGAGGGTCGAGATGCTCGAGGGTCGAGGGTGGAAGGTCGTCGTGGGTCGAGGGGATCGAGGGTCGAGGAGATCGAGGGTCAGGGATCGAGGATCTGGGCGGTCGAGGATCGAGGTTCGAGGTTTGACGGGCGGCCGCCCAGGGGTTGCGGGGAGGAGGTCTGGTGCCGCCTCAGGAGATCCGCGCGGACCTTCGAGAGTGGTTCTGCACTGTGTCTCGTGTGGCTTTCGGTCTGGGTGCTGCTTTGTGGGTCCTTGCCGGGGAAGCAGACACCAGGCCTTCGGGAGTGGGCCGTGCAGTGTGGCCAGTAGCGCGCTTGGCGTCAGCGCCGCACTGGGGGCGGTTTGCGCAGAGGCTCCGCCCAGCAGTGCCGTAGCTGAGCCGCGGCGCGTCGGCCCTCCTCCTCCTCCTCCTCCTCCTCCTCCTCCTCCTCCTCCTCGTTCTCCTCCTCCTCCTCCTCCTCCTCCTCCTCCTCAGAACACTTCTCAGAAGGCGGCGGAGGGACTTCCGAGCCTTCTGAGGATGCCCGCCTCTTCTCCCTTCCCCCCCGCTCGCCGCCGACCCTGGGGCCGCCCAAACATGGTTTTGGGACGTCTTTTTCCTTATAAGACATCGTCAAACATCCGCCTGTAGGAGGACATGCTCGCCTTAAGGTCAGTCAGAGCTCCGGATCTGGCAGGATCCTGCAGAGCCAGGGGTGCATTGACCAGGGCTTGGGCGCAGGATCCCGCAGGGTCCTGCAGAGGATTCTGCAGGCTCCTGCGCAGCCCGACTTTACCGTGTCTGAAAGGACCTGGGTCCGTAGCTCTAGATCCCCGAAGCGCGCCTGGCTCGAAGCAATCACTTTTTTTCGGGGATTTGGACGCCTCCTCCTTCGCCCCCTCCTCCGCCTCCTCTCCTCCTCCTCCTCCTCCTCCTCCTCCTCCTCCTCCTCGTTCTCCGTCTCCTCCTCCTCCTCCTCCTCTTCTCCGTCTCCTCCTCCTCCTCCTCCTCCTTCCTCCTCACTCCTCCCTCCTCCACCTCCCCTTCCTCCTCCTCCTCCCTCTCCTCCTCCTCCTCCGTTCTCTCCTCCTTCTCCTCCTCCGCCTCCGCCTCCTCCTCCGCCTCCTCTCCTCCTCCTCCTCCTCCTCCTCCCTCCTCCTCCTCCTCCTCCTCCTCCTCCTCCCTCCTCCTCTCTCTCCTCCTCCTCCTCCTCCTCATCATCATCATCATCATCATCATCATCATCATCATCATCATCATCATCATCATCATCATCATCATCATCATCATCATCCCCCTCCTCCTCTTCCTCCTCCTCCTCCTCCTCCTCCTCCTCCTCCTCCTCCTCCTCTAGAGGCCTCCTATAGATGGGGTCCGCGCAGGCGGGGTCGGAGGATCGCGCCGCAGCGCCGCTGCCGCGGCGAATGGCGGCTCTGTGTGCGGGCCGATTTTTTCTCCGCGCTGGCGATGCGCCGAGGCATCGCCGACGTCGCGCGGTGCATCGCCGGTGCGTCGGCGATGCGTCGACGATGCTTCGGCGATGCTCAAAGAAGAGCCATAAACATACGATTTCGGCGCTCTGCGCGTTCTTGGATCGGCGCTGGGGCCCCTCGGGCGGCGCCTCCGGCGCCGCCACTGGCGCGCTCCGCGCGCAAAGGAGGGGGTGTACAGCGCAGATCCAAGACATCCGCGCGGACCTCCAGAAGTGTATGTATATGCCGTTTGTTCTTCCTCTAGATGCTCGCGATCCTCCGATCGCACCGACTCCGACCCCACCAACGGTTTGGCGTCGCAAAGATAGCGTGGGATGTGGCGCCGTTGGCCCGCCTACTGTGCGCTGTCCCCAGCCTTACGTCGGGCCTGTCCCTCCACAGGAGGAATATTCAAGCATAATAAACAAATAGTCTGGGGACATTTTTGGGGAAATACTATGTTTGGCCAAGATTGGGGTATTGGTGGGTACTTTTCTTCATTTTTCACCCAAAATCCCCCTGTAGGGGGACAGGCCCGATTTAAGCCCAGCCGTGGGGACAACGTGCACCGAGGAGGCCTCGGCAGGGGACGGCGAGCACCGACGAGGCCCCCGCAGGGGACTCGCCTCACAGGGCAAACGTGTTCTTCGGAGATCGATGTTGCGCGCTATCTTTGCGACCTCAGCGGTAGGAGTCAGGAGGAAACAGACGCCCACCGACGCATCGTCGATTCCAGTGGAAGTGTGGCAGAATGTGGGAATGAGGAGGGGAAGACGGACCTCAAGAAACTGTGGACAACTATTGGGAACCCTGGGATCTGTGTCTATTTGTTGCTGTGTCCCTGGGCCCTTTCAAGCATCGCACCTCGGCCACGCGCAGAGGGAGGCAGGGGCAGGGGGGGGCCTTGTCAGAAGCACCCCTGCTTCTTGGAAGGCGTGGGGCTTGCTTGTAGATGTGGGGCTGGCGCCGTCTAAGAAGCAGCCTCCTTGTGAGAAGCCTGCCCCCTCCCCCTGCCCCCCTGTGCGCGCCGCCAAGCTTAAGTCGGGCCTGTCCCCCCACAGGGGGATTTTCGACGAAAAATTAAAAAAAAACACCTCCAAAATAGTCCCACCATAGTCTGGGGACTATGTTTTGAATATTTGTTTGATCTTTTTGGGGTATGTTTGGGGTATGTTTTTGTTCTTCGTCGAAAGTCCCCCTGTAGGGGGACAGGCCCGACTTCAGCCGAGCGCCCCTCTTCCCCGGGCGAGGCGCCCGGAGCGATCTGGACCGCGCGGCGGCTGCTGGCGGGCTACCTCATGCTCTACGACGAGCTGGGCGTCTCGTGCGTCTACGCCGAGCTGCAGGCCCGCGCCGCCGGGCCCCCCCTGCGGGCGCGCGGCGAGGGCAGAGGTCGCCATGCGAGGGATCGAGGATCCGGTCCTCGATCCTTCCTTGGATCGAGGATGCGATCCTCGATCCAATGATGAAACATCTCTGCGAACGTCGAGACGTCTCGCCCAACCCGCGCCGACACCGACACCGAGGACTTTCTGCTCCTCCTCTTCCCCCTCTCCTCCTAACCTTTTTCGTGTCTCGCATTGCATGAATCCAGACACCTCAGATCCTAGAGGCCATGGCCTCACCCACCTGGTCTGCTCTAGGCCCGGACGCTGTCCGCAACGGTGGTCGCATCGCATCGCATCGCCCCAGAGTCTGGTTGATGCAAATGTGACAGGCCTAGAGGTTGACACCAGCACCAAGATCGGCGGCGTGCCTCCACCGAGGGAAGAGGATCCCGATCTCGGTGATGGTGGTAGTATTCTGGCTGCCAAGGTGACCGACATATTACCACCAACACCGGAATCTAGGATCATCTTCCCCCTTGGAGGCAGCCCCCTTGTGTTGGTGTTGGTGCCCATTTCCAAGCCTCCAAACATGAGGGTCGAGCTACAAGGTGGTGGTGCAATAGATCTGGTGCAATATATTTCGGGTTTGGGTGCAGGATCCTGCAGGATCTTGCAGGATCCTTCGCATTGGCCCGTGTTTGGGTGCAGGATCTTGCAGGATTCTGCACGGCCCGACTGACCCGGGTCTGGATTGATCCAGGTCAGAAAATTGCGAGCGCCCGGCGAGGCAGCTCCGATGAGTGGGGCCGTGCCCCAGGGGCGCGTGTTACGCTCCCCCGCGCTCGCGCAGGCGCACTTGAGCGAGTCCGCGGCGTTCTTCTGCTACGAGGACCAGGGGCCCCTCTGCCCACCTTGCCCCAGGGGCAACGCTAGGGGGGATCCTCCTCCTCCTCCTCCTCCTCCTCCTCCTCCTCCTCCTCCTCCTCCTCCTCCTCCTCCTCCTCCTCCTCCTCCTCCTCCTCCTCCTCCTCCTCCTCCTCCTCCCCCTCCTCCTCCTCCTCCTCCTCCTCCTCCTCCTCCTCCTCCTCCTCCTCCTCCCTCCTCCTCCTCCCCCTCCCCTCCCCTCCTCCCTCCTCCTCCCTCCTCCTCCTCCTCCTCCTCCTCCTCCTCCTCCGCCTCCTCCTCTTCCTCCTCCTCCTCCTCCTCCTCCTCCTCCTCTTCCTCCTCCTCCTCACTCTCCTCGTCCTCCTCTTCCTCCTTTCCTTCTCCTAGGCTCAGGGGGGACGACGTTTTGAGGTTGAGCATTCTCGTCGGTTCTAGGCGATTTTCCAGCCTCGGGGTGCGTTCCAGTGGCTGTGCCTCGCCGAGAGCGTTCTGGGGGTACCCAGACCGTCCTGGACGGCCGCCGCAGAGCCGAGTCATGACCAGAAAGCCAAGGGGCAAAGCTGAGGGGGGATGGCTCAGGGGGGGCTCCTCCCTCCTTCTCCTCATCCTCCTCATCCTCCTCCTCCTCGTCCTCCTCCTCCTCCTCGTCCTCGTCGTCCTCCTCCTCCTCCTCCACCTCCTGAGGGGGGATGGCTCCGGGGGGGATCCATCGAGCCACAATCGCTCATTCATCGCCGATGGGGGCCCGACAGCCCGCCCAGCCCAGGTCCTTGCGTATTCGCTATCCCGGGCCTATCGCCGATCCATCAGCGATATATCGCCGATCGCCGATTCCAGATCGATGGTCCCCCCCCACCCCCCGAGCTGGTCCCCCGCTGCCGTTGCCCCTCACCTCGGCCGGCAGGGAACGGGGCTCCGCGCCAGCGGGGCTCAGCCAGAGCGCCGGACTTCTCCTGCGCTGGCCGAGCCCGGTTTAACTACACGCTGGGCTGGGGGATAGTCCACGCCCGGCCGAAGGGCCTCTGTGCCAGTTCTCGGCCTCCTGGGGCCCAAGGGCCTCCCAGACTCCCGGGGAGGGAGGGGTGGGGCACGCTGCGACAAAGGCGCGCCGCCGGATGTCAGGGTCTCTCTCTCTCTTCCGCCGGGGTCCTTCCCGTCCGGACCACGGCCGCGGGCGCGGCCGACTTCGGGGCGCGCTTCCGCGCGCGCGCCGCGTGCGTGCGCGTGTGCGTGTGCGCGCGTGTCTATTTGTGTTTCTGCGTGTGTGTGTGTGTGTGTTTATGCGTGTGTGTTTCTGCGCGTGTGTTTCTGCGTGTGTGTGTGTGTGTGTGTGTTTCTGCGTGTGTGTGTGTGTGTGTGTGTGAGTGTGTGCGTGTGCGTGTGCGTGTGCGTGTGCGTGTGTGTGTGCGTGTTTCTGCTTGTGCGTGTGTGGGTGTGCATGTGTGTGCGTGGTGTGTGTGTGTGTGTGTGTATGTGACTTCGTGTGACTTCGTGTGACTGTGTGTGACTTCGTGGGACTGTGTGTGACTTCGTGGGACTGTGTGTGACTGCGTGTGACTGTGTGTGACTGTGCGTGACTGTGTGTGACTGTGCGTGACTGTGTGTGACTGTGTGTGACTGTGTATGTGCGTGTGTGTATGTGTGTGTGTGTGCGTGTGCGTGTGCATATGTGTGTGTGTGTGTGTGTGTGTGTGAGTGTGCGCCTCGACGCTGCGCGCGAGGCCGCGACGGTCAAAAGTGTGTGTGTGTGTGTGTGTATTGTGTGTGTGTGTGTGTTCAGTGCCCCGCTATCGCTCGGACGCGCGTGCGGATTGCCTCTGTCGCGCTGCGACGGAGAGAACAGTGTGTGTGTGTCTGTGTTTGTGTATTGCGTGTGTGTGCGTGGTGTGTGTGTGTGTGTTTGTGTGGTGTGTGTGTGTGTGTTGTGTTGTGTCCGCTGTGCCTCGCTTGCTCCTTCGGTTTGGGACTGTCGCACTGCTTAGTCTTTCCATTTCCGCCTCTTTCCCTCCCTCCACCGTCTGTCCCCTCACGGCTGCCCCCCCCCCGTGGGTGTCGCTGCCGATCCCCTGTGGGGGAGATCCAGCTTCTCCCCGCTGCGTGAGCCTGTGCTGTGCGCGCGCTTGCCCGACCTGCTCTACGCCGCGCCACGTGGCGCCTGCTCCGCCTCTCGCACGCGTGCTGGCCTTGGCGGTGCAGCGGGATTCCCCGTAAGTCGGGCATGTCCCTCTACAGGAGGAATTTTGAAGAACTGTCAAGACATAAACTGGGCACGACTTTTATACTTTCAAACATTGTCTAAACATAGTCTGGGGACGACTGTTCTGTTTTTGAAGAACTAGTTTTGATCATTGTTGGGTACTTTGAATGTTTCGCCCAAACTCTGCCTGTAGGAGGACACGCCCGACCGAAGATTACCCAGCCCAGACACATGCTCTTCGCTCCTCGCTTGACTTCTGGTGCGCATCGGGCCTCAACCCTCCTGCACACCCCACGCGCCGGCGTCCGCCTGCCCCGCCCCCAAGAGATGTTTTGTTTTGTCCACGCCCACCCGCCCGCCTGGAGGCACGCCGCGCGCCCGCGAGGCCGTGTGGCATGCGTGCCAGGCTGCCTTCCGTCCTGGCCCTCGCCGTTGTGCTGGCACTCGGCAGGGGCGGAGGTGAGATGTTAGGGGAGGAAAAAGTGGCACAAACATAAAAGCTCGGAGATCCGCGCGCGCGGATTTCTCGGATCGGCGCTGGACCCCCCTCCATGGCGCGCGGAGCGCGCCAGGGGCGGCGCCGGAGGCGCCGCCATGGGGGTCCAGCGCCGATCCGAGAAATCCGCGCGGACCTCCGAGTTTTTATGTTTAGCTCATTTTTGTTCCTCTAGAAGCGATCCTGGCCCATCCTTGACCCAGGATCGGTGCATGTGCCTTCCTGGCCAAGGCAGGAGGGCGCATGCACCGATCCTGGGCTCAGGGTTGGGCCTGGCCAGAATCGGTGTATGTGCATACTTCTCTTTCCTCTAGGCGAGATGTGTTCGCGCACCTGCCCCGAGTGATGGATGAGCCCCGTGCTCCTGGTCGGGCTCTGCGTGGGCCCCTGGCTGCTCGCGTGGCCTCGGCGGCACTTCCCGGTGCTCTCCTCCTCCCCTGTGAGCAGATGTGCCCCCCGGCCAACACGCCAGCAGGGCGTGGTGTGCACCGAGCCCGGGCTCGGGGGGGGCTCGGCCAGGGCCGGTGTGAGCACCGCCCCCGCAGAAGTGATTCTGGGCCTCCCAGAGTGGGTCCGAGTACAGTAGGTTCGCGTCGTGTCGACTGGCGGCGACCCCGCTGCCGGCGTTCAACTTTGAACGCCGCCAGCGACCCAGAATCGGCTCATCGTTAAACGATTCGGCGTTACTGAAGCGGCTGATTGTTCAAGGTTGAACGATTCCCGCGGTGTCAGGAACCAACGCCGGGGTCGACACAATACAAACCTGCCGTAGACGGGGCCTGAGGATCGCGCCGTATCGTCGATGTATCGCCGATGCGGCTCGATGGTGGGCCCGATTTGCTCCACGCCGGCGTCGGCGATGCATCGCCGCTGTCGCCGATGCATCGCCGATGCCTCGGCGATGCATCGCCGATGTATCGACGGTGCGGCGCGATCCTTCGACCCCATCTACTCGGACCCCATGTAGGAGGCCTCTAGTAATACAACTCCTCCCCCCCTCCCCAAAAGCACACAGTGTCGCTCACAGGCGCCCTGAACCGCCCAGGACCGCCCAAGGATCGTCACCGATTCCTTTTGCAGGTCGTTGCAGTACCCGTCGTTTGAGTCAAGCTAGCGAGGTGACCCAAATCGTGGCCGCCTAGTCGACGACGACAACGACAACAATGGTGTGCTTCTACATCAACCTTCCTTCTAGTAGACGATAGGTGATCCAGGTCCTGGTCGCCTCAAGACGCGCGAAGCCCGTGGCCAGCGCGGTGACGAAGCATGCTGCACTATTTCTGCAAGCTGTTGCACTGTGACCCTCGTTTTAGACGTTGAGTGACCCAGGCCATGGTCGTCCTGGGACGCTTGAAGCTCCTTCCCGGGCCCGACTTTTTCACACCCGAGTCGTCCTCCGATGGGGTCGCCGGAGACCGCCGAAGCTCTCCCGGTGCGACCTCCTCATGCCGCGAGGAGGTATTGGGCCGTTTGCTCGAAGCTGTGGGTCGGAGGGCCGCCCCAAGGCGCCAGAGGGGGAGGAGAAGGACGGGGGAGGAGGAGGACGGGGGTGGAGGAGGAGGAGGAGGAGGAGGAGGAGGAGGAGGAAGAAGGTGAGGGAGGGAGGGAGGGAGGGCGAGAGGGAGGGAGGGGGAGCGGGAGGGGGCAAGCTAGGTGCGCTGGCGTCATATCTGACGTCCTACCCCTCCCTCCCATCCCTTACCATGGCGCTGACTTTCTCTATCCGCGGACGCGTGTCGTAGCGGACCTGTGGCTCCGCGCGCGCGTGCGTAGTGGGTGGTGGTGCGCGTGCGTGCGTGCGTGCGTGTGTGCGTGGTTGTAGTGGTGGTGGTGGTGGTGGTGGTGGTGGTGGTGGTGGTGGTGGTGGTGGTGGTGGTGGTGGTGGTGGTGGTGGTGGTGGTGGTGGTGGTGGTGGTGGTGGTGCGGCGCGGTGGTGGCGGGCGGATGGGCGCGCGAGAAAGAGGCCCGCGCTGGGGCGAGAACGCCATCCTGAACGACGGAGGCCAAACACCGATCCGAAAATGAGGCCCACGCTGCAGCGGGAGCACGATTCGGAACGACTCGGGAGCAGAAATGAGGCCGGCGCCTCAGCGAGAGCAGCATTTTGGAAAAAACGCAGGCGAAAACCCAACTCCCGGGAATCCTGTGTGTAAAAAAGCAGTACGCGGGGGGGGGTCTACTACTCCCAGCACGCCATCAGGGGAAGAGGGAGAGTAGTATTCATATTGATAATTGTAGAGGGAGGAGGAGGAGGAGGAGGAGGAGGAGGAGGAGGAGGAGGAGGAGGAGGAGGAGGACCTCCCCATCATCCCTTCTCCCCCGTCCTGCATATTGTAGTGGTGGTGGAAAATTGGCCCATCATGGGGCGCTCCTAGCCAGATGCATCTACCTCACCTCCCTCCCTTCCCTCCCCCCCATCCTATCTCTTCCCTGTTTCCTCCGTTTCCCACCCCCTCCCTTCCTCCTCCTCCTCCTGCTCCCCTCTCTCCTACCTATGGCAGTGGTGGAGGACAATCGGCCCATCACCCCAGATCCTCCACCCTCGCACGAGCAGCGAACATATCCGCATCCGCGCCCTCGCAGTCTGGTTTCTGGGGCGCGATCACATCGATGCTCGGTGATACGTTCTTTGGGTGGCCATCGGGGAAAAAAACGCCTCGTGTTCGCGGGGTCGCGGCCCAGGGGCCCTGCCCGCGAGGTCGTGGATACGAGTATGTTTTTCGCCTTCAACCTTCGGCTCTTCCTGACGATACCGAGCCGGGCAGGACGAGTCCTGCGCCACACCGCTGCTCAGCGTGCACGTCGACATGAGCACGCCCGTCAGCGAGCGCGTGGGCGTGGACTGCAGCTGCTTCGGGTGGGCCGCCGGATATCCCTCCCTCCTCTCTCCCTCCGTGCTTTCTCCCTCCCTCTTCCCTACCCTCCCTCCGTCCCCCTCCTCTCTACCTCCCCTCCCTCCCTTCCCTCCTCCCCCATCCTATCTCCTCCCTGTTCACTCCGTTTCCCACCTCCCCTTCTCCTCCTCCTCCTCCTCCTCCTCCTCCTCCTCCTCCACCTCCTCCTCCTCCTCCTCCACCACCTCTTCCCGGATTGCACATTAATGCATACCGTTATCCTCTCTCCCGGACTCCGTCCGGAAGGTAAACGCTTCTCTCCGCGTATGGTTGTTTACAGGAATGGACAGAGGAGTCTTTCCTCATGTTGCGTTCAGACTCCGATTGTTTCTCCGTGGTTCACAATCGTGTTCCCGCTGCAGCGTGGGCCTCATTTTCGCATCGGCGCTTTGCTCCCGTCGTTCAGACCGGCGCTCTCACCAAAACGCGGTCTCTTTTTTGGATCTGAGCCCCTCCTCCTCCTCTTCGTTGTCGCCCCCATCGTTTCCCCTCCTCTGCCTTCACCTGGTCCTCCTGCTCCTCCCGTTCCTTCCACTCCAGTTCCTGCTGCTGTTGTGTGTCCTCGTCGTCCTCCTTCCACATCCTCAGCCCCATCCTCCATCTTCTCATCCTGCTCATCTTCTTGCTCACCTGCCACCTCCTCCTCCTCCTCCTCCTCCTCCTCCTCCTCCTCTGTACGCAGTTCCTCCGTTCCGATTGCGCATAACTCGATGAGGCCTCTTTGGGGGAGTCCCATCAATGACACGCGCCCGTAAACACAAACTACAACAGCGCAACGGGAAAGGCTGGGAGAGAGGGATAGGATGTCAGATGATGTGGCGCAAGCGCACCTAGCTTGGCCTCCCCCTCTGCCCCTCTCCACCCCCCTCCCTCGAGTTGCCGCGTGGGCCGAGCGTCGGCTTCGACCCGTAGTGGCAGGCGCCTCCCCCAGCGCCTGCCCCTTCCCCCCCCCCTTTCTCCAGCGCCATGCCTGGGCGCTCCCCAGCCTGCTCCTTCGGCGCGGCCCAGCAGGCCGCGCGCGCACCCGGAGGTCTGCGCGGCGCGGCGAGCAGCGCGCCGCGTGGGTCGCGCAGGCTCTCGGCCAGCCCGGCGCCGCCCGCCGCACGCACCCCGGAGATGCGGCCGCTGCGCTCGGACGCCGCGCGCCTCCCGCCCTGGCGCGGCGCCGCGCGCGCGCGTCGGCCGGCCTGCCGCTGCAGAGCCTGCTCGTCACCGAGGCCCGCAGCCCGCGCGCGCCGAGGGCTCCGAGGGCTCGCCCCTGGGCATGCCGGGGCAGGCGGGGGGGGCGGCCCGCTGCCGGGGACTTCCGGGGCGACGCCGGCCTCGGTGCTGGCGCGGCTCGCGCCGGCCTTCTTCCCGCGAGGCGGCCGGCTTCGACCTCGTGCTCGTGCCCCAGAGCCTCGCGCGGAGGGGCAGCTTCGCGGCGTCGGCCACGCCGCTGGCCCTTGGGGCGGGCGGTGCCGATCCTAGAACATGTGTTTTTTGTTCGTGTTCTTCCTTCTCCTCTTGCATGGTTGCACAGCTCGCCATAACGGCATCCCCGTTTAGGCTTTTCCGCTAGCGCAGCCTTCCTCTGGCTCGCCGCCGACGCAAAGAGTTGTTTGTTCGTGACTTCGACATGCTCGATGAAACATGCTCCTCCGACCGAACGAACATGTTCGATCCTTGGGGGCCATCTGCTGGCCCTCCTTGCCGTGTCGGGGTGATTCTTTATACAGTCGGGGCGCTGCAGAAGGAACCTTTCTCGTTTGGGAGGGGCTCCGTGTTCCTTAACTGTTTCACACTTTGCCCTCTGTTTTCCGCAGGCCTTCGACGGGAAGTCGAAGTCTCACTCATGGAAAAAAGGGGCCCCGTTCCTTACTTAGAGGTCCGGTCGAATCCTTTGGAGTCGCTCGGGGCCCGAGGAGCCCAGTTTCTCGAGGAGCCGCTCGGATCGCTCGGATCCCTGAGAATCCCCGGCGTTCCCGTCGGGAACCGCCCGGAACCTTGGGAATCCGCAGCGTCCCTTGGGGCACCCGCAGCTTCACCCTTACTTCTTTTGTCACCCCAGCGTGGCTCGGGCCCCGGGCCTAGGGTTCCTTAGGTCAACGCCCCGACTGTATGTCGGGGTGGGCTCTCTCTGGTCTCCGCTCCCCGCAGCGGCAGGCCCTGCAGCCGGGGGCGCCTTCCGCTCTCTGCTTGGCGGCTGCGCCGTGCGCGCGCGCGGGGTCGACGGCGCGCGGCGCCCTCGGGGAAAGGTTGCGTCGGGCCTGTCCCCCCACAGGGGGATTCCCGACGATAAATAAAACAATACACCAAAAATAGTCTGGGCATTTTGGGGATATTTGTTGTTTTTTTTTCTCTCCATATTTTGGGCATTTTGGGCATATTTTGGGGAAATAGTTGGGCATTTTGGGCATTGTATTTACCTTTTGGGGGTATTTTTGGGGCATTGAGTCGGGCCTGTCCCCCCACGGGGGGATTTCCGACGATAAATCAAAAATGCCCCAAACATAGTAAAACAACACTCCAAAAATAGTCAGGGGACTATTTCCAGAGTATTTGTTTTACCTTTTTGGGGGGATTTCCGACGGTAAATAAAACATACACCAACAATAGTAAAAAGAACAATCCAAAAATAGTCAGGGGACTATTTCCTGAGTATTCGTTTTACCTTTTCGGTGTATTTTTGGGGCATTTTCTATTTCTCGGCGAAGATCCTGCTGCAGGGGGACACGCCTGGCATAAGGGAAGGGGCACCTAGTGGCATGGCCGGGCGCCGGGGCTTCGCGGCGCCTCGCCCTCGGTCGGCCTGCAGGCTGCGGTGGCCCGCCGCGCGGCGCCGAGGCCGAAGACGACGCTCGGGAGGGAAGAAAGCACGCAGACACAAGGAATCGTCGATTCCCCAGAAGATATGGGGAAAAGATGGGGAGTGGGGGGGAGACATAAACCCAGAACAAATTGGGAAATTCGGGGGAATCCTGCTGTTTGTGTGTGTGTACTTGTTTGTGTGCCCCAGGGCCCCTTCAGACGCGCCCGCCTCTGAGCTCGGCCCTCGCTGCGAGTGCACTCGAAGAAGGGCAGACGGCACAAGCATGTACGTTTGGCGCGCCGCGCGGCAGTGAGGGGGGGCCGGCGCAGATCCAAGAAATCTGTGCGGACCGTTGAGAGTTTACGTTTGTGGCGCTGTGTCTTCGTCTGTGCTTCTCGGGCCCCCTCTGCTGCATGCTGCCTCCGCCGCCCTTGCAGCGGAAGCCCATGCCAGGAAGCATTCTGCTCGCCTCCAGGGTGCCCTGGGTTTCTTGGGCTTCGAAGGTTTTGCGATGGAGAGCGTGATGGTCCCACACCAGAAGTCAGTTGACGTCGTGGGGCTCCAGGGTTGGGTTTCCTGTGAAAGGCCTCTCGTGGTCGAGCTCCTGCGGTATTTTCTCGAGCCTTCCTGGCCCTCCAGCTACCTCCTCCTCCTTCACTTCGACGAAGAAAAGCATAATAAATACACTTGCTGGCGCGGAGCGCCAAAAGGTTTTCCCTATTCAGTTGTTTCGTCCTCCATTACTCCTCCCTCTGCTTTCTTCCGCCCCTCCTTTCTCCCACCTGTTCCAAGGCAGACGGGCAGGAGGGGGGCAGGAGGAAGGGGGAGGAAGGGGGAGGAGGGGGCTGGGAGGACGGAGGGGGCATTCTCCGCGCTCCGCGTATCGACCCCCACCAGCCCATCCAAAAGCAATCGCCACGGGAACTGCACTGATCAGGACTGTGTAGCAACATGCATTCGCGCTCTGGGAGCCCCTTGAAGGTTCTTGGGGCCACTGTGGGGTCCTGCTGGGGCAATTTTAGAAGCCTTCAGGCCCTCTTGGGGCACTATTGGGCCCTCCTGGACTCTTCTGGGACCCTCTGAGGGAGATCTTGAGGGCCATCGACAAAAGGAGGGCAGCTCGGATGAGGGCTCCCCCTCGGAGGCCGAACAGTTGCCCCCTTGGGTCCTCCATCTTGAGGCCTGCAGAGCCCATCGGAAGTGTAAAGGCGAGAAGGCCAGCAACTCATGTTTTCCCAAGGTTATGCCAGGATCTCGGACTTCTCTGTGTTCTGTTTGAGCCGTGATTGGGATGGTCATGGCCCCATTTGGAAACATGTTGGAAGCCATCTTGGGCTATGTTGTGCGATCTTGAAGGCCATCGTTTGCTATGCCGGGCCATTGGGGGCCCTCTTGGACGCTCCAATCTCTCGCGACAGGCCCCTCTCCAGACCCATGGAGAAGGGGCAAAAGGGAGAGGTATATCTCTCCCCCAAGGGAAGGGGGTGGTTGGAATAATGAACTTCTCACACCTCCCGCGCGCCCCAGATGGCTGGCGGGATGTAAGGGGGATGCATATGATGGGGGAGGAAGGAATGATTTCAGGGACAACGGTGGCACGGGGTCGGACGCGGGAAGGAGCAGGAGTCATCGTGCAGGACACGGGGGTCGGAGGAGGGGCGTGAGGGAGGGGGGATACGCGGGGAGGGGGGAGGGCATGAAGGAGGAGGGCGGAGGGGAGGAACGAGGGATGGTGATGAAGGTGATGTTGGTGGTGTTGTTGTTGGTGGTGGTGGTGGAGACGACGAAGCAAATCATGGTGGTAAGCCGAAGCCGCAGCGGGAGGACGGGGGCGAGGCGCCCATGCCTGCTCGGGCGGGGGTGGCCTGCCCGGGGGCCCGCCCGCTCTCCCCACATCCTCCGCCGCCCGCCCTTTCCCTGGCGCCTCCCCTCGCTGAGGTGCACACGGTCAGCCCGCGCAGGAAGGACGGGCTGCGTGTGACGTCCACGTCCGCGCGCCGCTCATTCCGCGGCGCATGGGACAACGTCTACTCTTTCCTTCCGGCCCGATCATCCTCTACCTACGGACCACACGGCAGGTTCGACTCTTTGGTTGTCAGCTTCCGTTCGCATGGGCAACCTTCCCAAGGGTACCTTTGCCCATTTGGCCCATCCTCTGCGACTTTCGCTGGC